AATACGCAGTAATTTCAGGATTTTAATCTGAACTTAAGAAAGCGTTATTAACGAATACAAATACTGATCTTACAGAAGTGCAAGTGGCCAAGAAATAAAACCAGCATAAAAAATGCGGAATTAACGAAGTAGAGAAAGAACACCAGTTGAAAATAAGCGAAAAAAAATGACCTGCAAGAAAGGATCACTAATACCCGTTACATCGTGTTCCGGTGAATAGCCGCTCATCAAAAGGTTTTTCAAGATACGAACTAGATTCGGCACCATCTAAAGTTGGAAATTAAAACAATATCATAAAGTTCTATATACTACCGAAAAGATAATATCCAAACCCAGAGTGAAACATCACGTAAAATAGAGCTTTTAAATTAAAAATCACTACAATAACAAACTTTCTTAAAATGATTTAGCACGTCAGGACTTTTCTCACACATTTCGGTAACCAATGTTATTCCACCAATCAACACTCCTATAAGTTTGTAAGGATAAAAACACCAGTCATGGCATTTAATGAATAATATCGGTTTTACTTTTTAAGTCGCCACTTTTCTTCAGTCTGCTGCAAATACAAAAAAAAAGTAGAACCATAACCTATTAAAAAACTGAAATTAAAGCACCTCGAAGTATATGGTTTCTCGACAAACAGAAGCTATTAATTATAAAACAGCCGAAAAAAAATTCACGGCCATGTAATTCAAGAAATTGTTTACCCTGCATTCTGCAAGAAACTGTTTAAGAAACTGGGTTACAAGAACCTCACCATGATTCTTTTCGCTGATTAATGATTTTGTGCACGAGATGAACATTTCCATGAGTTCAGGAACTTTTTTTACGATTCGAAAAGCACATAAAGCAGCCTAAATGAACTGCCTTTTTTTTCAATATATTTCAATTTATGATGGTATTTAATAGAAAAAAAAAAATAGAACTGAACGAAAAATGAATTGCCTTGAATTGAATAAATCAAGCAAATCTCATATTCGATGTTAAGTTCAAACTGAATATATGATCACGCTTCAATTTATTTTAGTTTAAGATGCTTTTCATTAAATATCTCACTGCAGAATTTCTAAACACAGGCAATTGAATTTTCGATTTGGAGTATTGCATAAAGGTCGCAGAGAACAGATAAAAGCAAAAAAAAGAATTCATTGCAGAATTCATTATTTCCCTAAGTCTCCGTAATGACGAGACTACCTTTTTTTTTATGTATGTATTACTGGATTTAATTAGCCTTTCAACTTCTCCAGCCAAATCACGACACATCTCTGACGAACAAATTGAGCCTAATGTGCAAAGAGCAAGGCCTGTTACGAATTGTGTTGAAGCATTCAGATCACTGAAACGTTGATGTAAAATGCAAACCAAAAATTTCCATCATGATTACAAAAGCTGGAGATGCATAAGAAACAGAATGAACAATGTAAAGAGGTGAAGGAGAACAGAAAAGTAATGTTACGAAATTAAAGTAAAACTTTAGAATTACTTTTTCAAAGAATTAGTGACAAGAAGATGAACTTCCGAACGTTCGTCCAGCAATAACATTGCACCCAGATAGCCAATGCGCTTATCAGTGTATCTTGGTTGCGCAACTAATTTCATACATTCCATCTATGGAGTGATTTTGAAGTTGTAGAATTCAGCAAGGTAAGAATGGTTAGATTTGAAATGCACACTATTTCAATAATATGTCGTTTATCTTGTGTTTTTGGCACCCACTGTGATGATTGGAACACACAAATAAGTAAATACAAAACAAAATAAAAGAACCTATATAACCCAATTTTAAATATCATGGAGAGGAAAAATTGTCGTTACGTTTTAAACGCTTGCTCAAAACATAAAATTTACTTTTCTTTCACTACCTAAACAAAAGATGCGTAGCAAAAATCTCACAAATTAAACAAAACTAACACTAAGACCAGCAAAAGTAAGGAGAATAGTAAACTGTAATACTTACCTGTCCAAAATGAGCCGGATAACCTAGCATATGTATATACAATAGTTTTGCAATATTTCTACATTTCCATGGACTGTCATCATCGCGAAATGTCTCCCGAATGTTTGCACTTTCTCGATCAACTACAGCCCGCTCCTCAGCCATCGTACGAGCAGCCCGTACTTGACGTATCAAATCCCGCAACCGCATTGGCGTTCCCAAGGATCTATAACAAAGATCGAAATGATGTATAAAATGATTACTTTTCGAAAAACACCCAGGAACTATCGTAAATTTTATTAGGAATTCAAACCTAACCTTTTTCCGTTTCTTTACTTGAATAAAAGATGATTAGAATTCATAAGCTGAACATGTCAATGGTCTTTCTGAGGTATGCATATATCTGTCTCAAATATATGGAAAAACTAATACAATAGTACATGGCATCTAATTGTATATCTCCTTCATTATATAATTTGGAATAAATTACTAGAACTGATAATTATCAGTGCTTTTCGAGTTCACAAAAACCTTATCTTTTTTTTGACAAAAACAGCCAATAATTTCATGTTTATCTTATCACTTTAAAGTGTAATGTCAGTATCTTCTAATGTTCAGAGCTTTCAGAACTGCTTTGCTCATTATCTCATACTAAGAGGTGGTCATATAACAACGATTTAAAACCATTCTTTAATATGAAATAGCTATATGCAGACCATTTATGCATTTTATTGATTTCAAATTTGCGTTGTACGCTATCTTGCTTCATGCTTAAATTCTACATCATTCTACCTTTTATTTCATATTTCATGCAAATATTCCACATTTATATCATACCTCATCCTAACAAAACAATTTAATCTTATCTTGCAAATCCTATTACTTCTGCTTCATTTTAACTTCATCTACTATGTTCTTGAAAATGTATTTTTTTTTTATCTGTGACAGAGATGGTACCAATCTGACCGTTGATGATTATCGTAATAATCCAGTTATTAATAAAACAACAAATTAATAACGTTTTATATGAAATAACATACCTTCCAAGTCGAGATTTCACTTCATCAATTTTTTCAATAGTCATTTCTACCACTGTTGCCATGCTAAACCTACTACGATTCTTTTATAGTAACCAAAATAATCTGCAAATATCACTGGTAATCTAACAAATTCGCAGTAATCAATTAACAGTCAAATATTGGAATTTAATTGAAGAACTAAATGATAAACTGATGAAGGGGAACAAGTGATAGCGGAATGGACGAATAAAAGGATGGATAAATCAAAACTATGACATGGTTGACATGGTAATCTGGCAGGTATCCAAGAAAGTCTCCCTTTGAAGTGTTCGGTGCACAATCCAAATCTTCCATAACCACTCTATTTTCCTTATATGCATCTATTCGATGAATCATCATCACAATTACACCATATTATCCAGCTCACTTTCATTCAACCATTCATTGCACGCCATGTTATACTACTACCCGGCAATGAGCACTTTATTTGTCGAATTTCAACTGCAACTAACAACCAACTAACAACCCAACCTATCACACAGTGAATTTCGAAAAAACTGCATCTCTCACCTCCTAACGTCTATCCAACAACTATACTATCTCCTTCTCCTTCTCTGTTCGCCTTTCTTCCCTATCAACCCACTCGTCATTGACAACTATCCAAAATGACTATCCCCACTACGAATTAGTGTTTAGCTTTGCGCAGTGGCGATAACGTGACCAATGAGGCTTAGCCGAGGTGCGTTTATTGCTGGTTGAAAACTTTCACCCAATTGCCCGCCGCAGCTCCTGAAAAATGGATGCTGTAGGCAATTTTTGAACGCCCTGTACAGGGCAGCTTATAACTTGAACGTTTGGTGGGTTCTGCTGAACAAGATGTTGTGATTCACAGCATGATACCCGCTACTAGTTCTCCAGCAACCGATGTGCAACAAACATGCCGATATAAATCCAAAGGTATGTCGCCACTTCTGCTGCTGATGGATGCTTTCAAAATTATGGAAAGCTGTCATGTGTAAATACGGCATTAACTACACTTTCGAAACTTTTAATAGATTAGGGACAAGACAAAATATCACATGAAACTGCGCTAGAAAAGAACTTTTTACAATTCAGTTACAATGAATAACAGAAGGAGAAATTTGTGGATTGCGAAGAAACAAACTGATTATGAAAATACCTCCTGACCAGCACTTTGAACAAAAAAAATGTTCACAGAATCTCATCCTTAATTTAAGTCACTAAAACTTATCGGCAAGTGCACTCGGCCAAGGAGCTATAAGAAACGAGTTTTATCGAAATTAAAAAAATCTAACCTGAGTTCAGAAAGAATATAAAATGTGTTTTCTTGGTAATATTTAATCAAGTTAGTAGAAGATTTATAAGCCGCAATCCAAAAAAAACCAAAATTCAGGTGAGAGGAAAATGGAATAGAAGTAAAAGGACACGTATATGTAAATATCAAAAATTGACAACATTTCAATATCTCTGTCTGCAAGCCCAATTTCATGCCAAGAAAATGATACAGAGCTCATAGCTTACTGTGCAGAGATGATTATACCTACGATATCAATTTGCAGGGTCAACAAATCATTTATAATGCGCAAACGCTTAAAGCTCAAGCATTGAAACAGTAAAACGCTATGCTTGCACACAATGGGAATGGAATGCGCACGCTACAGCTTTCTATGTATTATTGCCATTATACTTACAAGGATAAAGCGAGATAAAAGCGTAATAAACATAATTATATAGATAAAAGCGTGATAAACATATTATATACAGCCAAAATAGTTTTAAAAAATATTAACGAAGCAAGCACTACCTCTAATAGAGAAAAGGGACATTATATAGGAATCAGAAGGCCTGCTGCATATGTTGGACAGCTCTAACGTAATTTATAAATAAAGTAATAAAGTTTACAAAATCGAGTTTTAACTTCATTATGAAATTACAAATCACGGAAATATCGAAGTAAAAAGACCTTTATAGGACAATCCGACTAAATTTCACAAAAAAAAAACCAAACGAAATCATTGGTGCTAAGGTGTACTTCCAAACAGATGAAGATAACCAGTGGTCGGCTCTCTAGGAGCCATTTGATGCTGTATGACATACTGTCGTGCTGCCATGTTTCCTTTAGCAGAACAATCAAAAAACACTCGTTGCGGATGTTTCTCATCAGCAGGTAAAACTTTAGGAATAGTTCCTAGTGGTATCCTTACAACTGGTAAACCTTCTGAGCTTGCGCTTGCTTCTACCGTCACACCATCGACATTTTCATCAATTAAAATTTCAAATTTCGGGAAATCTTCGCCAAGTTTACCTGGAAAATTCCTTAACTCTCCCATAAAGGAAAATAGTTCCTTTTATTTGTAACGCCCATGGTAAAAATACTTTTAAGCAAACTCAATGCAGTTCAAAATTGAAAACACACTTAACACTGTTTCGCATATTTTCTTCAGCTCATTTTTTCTTCTTTCACATTTCTTTCCCTTCAGCACAAGAACGGCCTCTTCCGCGACTTCATCTAACAAAGCATCTTTCATTTTCTTTTGAGCAATTATTTTCTGTTTGCGTGATTTTTTCTCAGACGAGCCACTGAATTGTTCGCTGCAAAAGTTTCGCTACTATTAACTGTCCACTCACCAAAACTTCAGATGAACATGAATAACTCACTCATCTTCTAACAGCCTCAAAAGAGCCTCCTCAGCTTCTGCTTCCAAATCAGCTTCTTCTTCATTCCAGTCAACAACCTTGAAAAGATTTTCAAGTTTTATACGAAAAAAGAATACCTCCATAAAAGATAATGGACCCGCTGAGTGTGAATTTGAAACCCTCAAAATATGACTAAGAATGATCAAGATTTACTGCGGCTACTTCGCTTATGGTATCACTACCGGCGCCGTTCCTTTTCAGTAATTTTAAATCCTTTTTCTTGATTTCCTTTTCCTTAATCCTATCGATGACTTCATTTGCATGCGAATATAAAGCATCAGACAACAACGTTGGGACGGCCATGGCCTGAAAGTCTTTTTGAACAATTATCCATCCTTCGATTGAAATAAGAAACTGAATTTCTGATAAATTGGCCATAGCCAGAGTAGATACCTGATTTAGTCGAGTCCAGTTAAACTTTTCTTCTCGATTATACTTGGCCTTCAATTCCAATCGTGTTCGAGATGGAAAGAACTCATGCATCAACCCAAAATCTGGACCTGTGGCCCTAAAACACCTCCATTAAGGAAAGCGATATAAAAACGCGCTTCACTGAAAATGAGAAATCAGTAAAATTAATAATACAACTATTGCCTAGTTACAAGCAGTGAGATTATTTCAAAATCATAAAATACCTGAAAAAGAGTTACCTCAAAATATCGTAAAAAAGATCGGTTTCCAATTCACTCCACGGATTACCCCTGCAGAATGGCCTTTTTCGGAAGCTCATTGAATTCAGTTTCTTATTTGGGCGATCCTATAAAAAATAACAACAATAAAAACCCTTTTTCCAAGAAAGAGATGCTTCCAGAGTTATAAGATAAGCATGGTGACTATAATATGCCAATAATCCTAATTTCTTTTTCACCAAATTCCAGAGCAGCTCCAAAATTCAGTCTTTTAGTTAAAAAAAAAAAAAAAAAATGCTTTCTTTCCTTCGTTTCAAGAACTGCATTTGAAATTGCATGTTCCCTATAATATGTAAAATTGTTTTTGCCTATGATAAACACCGTGTAGCATACTTCTTCTATAGTTTCCCAAACATTTGAATCATTTTCGTTTGTAATCGTCAAACTCGATTCATCAATAACCAAAGAACCATCAGCTGCAATTTTAACCTGGAAATTCATTCGAATAAAAATGCATGTAAAAGACGTTTTATCTTAAACAGGAATACCCCATTTACAACTTTAACAAAATAAAACAGTGATGTGAGAAAAGAGAAATTAATTGCCTGTGGAGCAGCGAAAGCAGGCTTCTGAGTCCTTTTCTGCTTGCTTTCAACATCTGTTTTTTCCACAGTTTCCAAATCTGTTATACTGCATTTCCTTTTCTTTCGCGAATTATCATGTAACCGCTATAATGGAAAGCTTCAACTCAAGGAAGAACTAAGGGCCAATCCTAACATATAGAAGAAAAATAAATAAATACAGCATATATGAAAATAAAAGGCATTAACAGCTGCATGGAAGGAGCAAAGGGACTCTGAAGTTACTTTTTCATTCTTCGGATTCCAGGAAATTAAGTCTTGCATAGTCATTGTTTTTGGATCTAAAGGCTCACTGCCAGTAAATTTCTTCCTGAAATATAATGGTTATTGTTTACATATTTCGTGTAGATTTGTACATAAAAATTAATCAGTCAGTTATTCAAAGCAGTGAAAATCAGTGATGAATCGTCAAAACAATATCCTAATTAATATACCTCACTTTTGATGGATAATCGATCTTGGTAGGGGAAGCGGAAGATACAGTCCTTGAACGAGGCGTAAACGGTTGTTCAATTCCAGATGAAGAACTGAAAACTTCTCAATTATGAAATTCAATATGGGGAAACATCCGAATTTGCTCCTAAATCCAAATCAAATGAACTCTAAAAACTACGTGCCAATGAATACAAATGAATAAGCTGCATATAAATGTATGCATAAACTGCATCAAATTTAAAGATTTAAAGAGCAAACAATCCATTGTTTTAATAGCCGACAAAAACAATAGGGGCGTTTAACAATATCAGTTAATATTTTGCAGACTTGTCGAAAACACCAATGAACTGAGTAAATCCAAAAAACTTACATGGAACCTGCAACACTAACTGGTGATTTTAGTTGCGGTGATTTAGACGGAGAATTGTCATGAGACTTACAAATAAGTTGAGGCGATTTTAAAATTGTCGATGACTCGGTTGTATATTCACTGGCGAGCAAAGCCTTATCTAAAAAATATTAAAATTCCGATCTTTCGATATAAAACTTTGCCGATGCCTATATACGAATTTCTATAATGTAAAATTTCAACTGGATCTTTCAATCTTTGTGAAGTAAAGCAGAAAAATCAATTACTGAAGCATATTAAAAGAAAAAGGGTACTATCTTTCGCCGACATTCCACCAAATTTCTATGTAACCCTAAAAAATTCTTCATATAACTCTTCGACCTATATAATCCTCTGTGGGGAATTTATTATGAAAACTGATTTGATACAAAGTTAAATAATCTAGTTTTTTATTACCTGTTGGCCTGTTTGATCCAGCTTTATCTAAGTCGTTTGAAATCGATTCGGAAATAGCAGGTATGCACTGCAATTCTTGGGCCTCAACAGTAACTCTCCCTGAGGTCTTTGTTCTTAACGTGCTCTTTTCCTCTGATATCAGTACTGTTGCGGACGGTGGTGATGTATCATCTGATTGCGCTTTAATTGGGGAAGCAGGCCTCGGTTTTGCCGGCACACTTTTCTTCGTTCCACTGACAACATTTGGACGTGCCTGCAAGGAAAAAGCCAAACCATTCAAATGAATGAATCCCTGTTCAAACTAAAGCCGAAAATGAATGCTACTGACTTATTTTTAAAAGTTCTGACATATTATTTGCTTGAGATGCAAATGTACATGAAAATGATAGATCTCCCGTAAATCCACAAATATTCTACCTGTATGCGACAGCGTCGTGACATCATGAAACCAGTCCCACCACTAGCTGGTCGATTGTCCTAAACAAACACAACGAGTAATAAGCCGAATGATAAACAATTTATAAATCACAAAAACAAAACCTAACTCAACTGTTCTAAGTACCAAAATCTACCCTTCTTCGGAAGCCACCTCCCTGGCCCTTCTCTCAATTCTCCTTTCCTTCATCTCATAACCTTCAATTATGGACACAATCAATCCAATCGAGATTCCTCTAAACTGTTGCAACGTAGTATCAGTTTTTCGGAAGTGGGGAAGGTCATACCCTATTGATTTCATTAGTTGTGTCTTTTAGGGTATGGTCGAGAATTTAGCGCTAGGGTTTCTTTTCACTACTGCTTTGATCCTATTATTTTTCACTGATAAAAAACATTGACGACAGGAGTGTAAAACTCATTGTCAGGTTATTTGCCCTCTGCTTATAAATGTCATATTCTACCCATTCAAGCACCATAAAGCAGTCACATCTTAGTATTTATGTCCTATTTTTCATGAGATCGAATGACCTCCTGGTCCATCTTCACCTCCACTTTTATTCTTTTATTCTACGTTGGGTATTAGCCTTTGCCCAGCACTCTTCTGCCATCAAATTGAAACATTGGGAGTTATGTTTCGTGACTCTTTCATACTTATGCAATAACTATCATTCTTCCACAAGAAATGAAAAAGTGAGTAGTGGGACAAAAAGGTGTGATTAAACAAATCCAAGTGGAGAGTCAAAAAGTTCCACAAATGAGCGACGGGATAGAGAGAAACGGATACGATAGTGAGGTCGGAATATGCCGAACCATTTAGGTGATTATTTCATGACAAGTCAGGAAATTGTTTTGGAAAATAAAACAAATCAATTGAAATATTAAGACATTCTATCAGAGAGGCAGGGACGAATGTAATGAAATTTTATGAAAAACGAAAAATGTACTAGTAAACTGTTTGAAATAATTTCATAGCATTTTGATGACATTTCATAAACAAATGAAGAACGATTTTCGCCTTTTATCAACAACTATTTTTTCTTCTTTTTTTTTTTTTTTTTTGAAGCTGGTGAATGTTTGTTGCATTTATGCTTTGACTTCCCGATCTACCTTATTCTCCAAACAGATCGCGCCATTTTCACAATTACTCTTTTTACCCTCATTAAAGCATATCACACAAATTATCATGCGTATGATCTTTGAATCCACAAGACAAATAAGCAATTTGAATTATTAGATGGGGTTTTACGATTGTCTTCATAATAATATAGGTTGTTGGTATTTGGTCAAATCCACAATTGCGAATGATATCGGCTTAAAAATAGTCACATCGATTGTTTTCGAATTCATTAACATTGCCCAGTCCCTGTAATTTTCGTGGATATTCACGAACTATTTGATGTTAGCGTTCTCTTCACTTCTATTCTTAATGGTTCTGTTGAAAGTGAAGTTGTAAGGAATTTTGTAAATATTGACATTCAAATCTTTTTAATCCAATTTGTAATTGGAATGAAGAAGTGGCATCACTGACTCGAATCTTGTCTGTTTTTTAAGCAAAAATTCATTGATTCGATTATAGGATAAGACGAGCAAACTTATTCCTTCACTACTTTTTTTCCATTAAGATGAAATATAAGAATTACTTAATCAGTGGTAACAGATGTTATTAAAGACTGGGAAATATTGTAAGAACGGGAGACAACTTGGACATTTTTCTTGACAGAACTTCTGTGATGACCTAGTTTGGCCTTTTATCCTTGTTCATTATCTGGCGGTTTGGAACACTGCACTTATTCATACCACTTTCCTCCATTTTTTTGTAGGTTGTCACGGTCCTTCATTTTTGTTTGGTATTTTTGAATAATTTTTAAATTTGTTTAATGTTAATTTAAAAAGCGTAACTGCATGATTGAACAATGAGCAGGAATTACATAATAAAATTGAAAAATTACTCTTCAAAGCGGAAAAAAGCTTTTACTTACTTAAGCTTTGCTCATTTCGAGTCGAAAAAAGCTACTTGTGATGTCACTTTTAAACTTTCCAGAACTATAAACTGCTGAAATCTCAGTGAACAATTTGATTAATTACGTTTATTGCCTTAATTTACTGAGACTAATATCAGTTATCATTCTGACAAAGTTCAATTAAGAGTGATTAATATATGCTGGAAATGAAAACATGTTAATGAGAGTGATATTCTCGCTTGAAGTAGCAAAGTATGTTGAATTTTTAAGTCCCCACTCTTGAGTGTTGGAAAAAAAAGCAAAGGAGTTTTTGGTGTTTAATTGAGCAAGAATTTTTAATTAAACAAATTTCACTGCTTACATACTTCTCTACTTTCACAAACTTACATATTTGTGAGTTTAAAACCAGAGCTGCACTAAAGGTCCCTGAAATATTTCTTCAGATATTAGAAGTGAATAAAAAACATTATAGAATTAATAGATATGACTATTGTGCAACTTGCAGCTTATTTTTATGTTCATAACAGTTAGCAATTAGCGAGGAATTGCTTTTGGCTGTATAGCTGGTGGTTCTTTGGAAGGATTTTGTGGTACTGCATTCACAGGATTTATTTGCGGGATTTCTTCCATCATCTCTTCTGGGAATTCCAATTCCCACAGTCGTTTCAAATGTTTACCTCGAACATCACGCGGTGTTCCGAATCCAGTCATTCCTCTCTAAAAATTCATCAGCACATGTAGCGGCGATAGTACTTTTTCTCCCACAATTTGGATGGATTTACCTGTGAATCACATTTGTTAGTTCCGGACTGTAATCGAATGATTGAATCGGTAGCTCTCAGTTGCTCAATTGTCCATTTTTTGCCATTATCAGCAAATTGCACATTGAGGGCAGTATTGCGAGGCATACCGAAACCTGTCTTACCCTGCAAATTCATGAACACTCTTTTGTATGAACAATGTACCGGGAAAATGATTTGCAAAGTCTTGTCAGGTACGGTATTTTTAGTGTTATCTAAGTTTAGTGTATAGCAATAAATCCTCTGTCACCACGATTACCATTTATATCCGATTAGTAGAGCAATCTGATTAGACCTGCAGTCACTGCGAGATCAACCGAATTACAATACTTTAATCGTTCTGATTTACTACGAGACGTCGACAAATAGCAGTAAACTTGTTTAGTTAATAAAGATAAGCTTATTGGCCCAGTAGGGATACGTTAATAAGCTCATTTCTTTCCATATTCATTAGAAACCAGAACTTTGATTGGACAATAAGCTTAGACTTTCATAGTGCATCGAAATTAGTGGTTTATAAATTTTCAAGAAGTAATGAAGTAGTGTCGGAAAAATCTGATATTTCTGTGGCAACAAGGAATTTACCTACGAACGATAAAGGTGAATATACCATACCACACTGGTCCGATTTGAATTGAAGCACGTAAAAATGTAGCGGATGGGATCGGAGTAAATGCATGCATCAGAATTTTAGAATTGTGGATCATGAGATGCATTTATTGCGAAAATGGAGCTTAGGTTTTGTTATACAGTTTCGCAAATTTGGCCAATTTTATTAGAACATTAGACTTTCATCAGTATTTTATACTTCTCTGAATCATCAAAACAGATAAAAGCCATGCGGCATGTAAAAGTTCACCGTTTCCTTTAGCAAAGCTCTCCAACAAAGTTTTGCAAGAATCGCTTGCATTCTAACTAAAAATGAAGTCTTTTTTAGAAAAACTTATTAAATGCTGCTCAAAGATCTTTGCTTGGAATCTCAAAAAGATTTCAAAAATTTGTAATTCACAGACTCGTTAATCTCTGCAAACTTCGACATAGGATGTTAATTAGGAGAAGAGGAAAAGTGCCAGTGATCTGATTTTGAATCGACTTCAAATGATAATTCATGATGTCAGCCTCTCCTCACTCTTTTCAGTTGCTCTGACTGTTTTGAAATAAACAAACAACTCGCTTTTTAAAAGCCTGCTCCTTCCTTCATCATTTAAATTTAAATCGAGTGAAATTAAGGGTGAGAAGAGAGGATGAAAATTTCAGCAATTGTGATAGATATGCTAACTTTTTGTGAATCAAATTGATTTGTTCCCGATTGTAGCGGTACCAAACCATCAGTCTGTCGTAACTGACCGAGAGTGAATTTACCACTACGTGTGCGTCGTCCATTTTCCGGTGTAGCCGCTGCCTCTACATGAGCAATCTTCAAACCACCTTCGACCACTGAAATGAATCACTGAAGATATTGATTAATTCCACAATTATAATAGAAAATCTCTTTTATCCCTTTTAAAAGACCTTTTGAGGGAACTAAAATTTTAAATTCAAACTGTGACCGATTCTAATAGTTGTAATTAATCAAGCTGAATACACAAACACGTGGCTAACATAGAATTAGCGGAATGTCCCAGAAAATCTCAAAAACATTCTTTAACCAGTAGTATTGGTAGTAATTTGATTTTTACAAGTTAATTACTAGTACTGAAAGGGAATTTGAAGAAGCAATTCTAAATTAAACTGACGTAATTTACCATATGATATGTATAAACATGAAATACCATCTCTATAGCAATTTCTGGGTGTGGGACACCTGTCAAGTAATATTCAAATTTGATTAAACTTAATAATATCTCACATTGTAATTACTCAAAAACAATGAACTGAAATAGATTTAGCAAAATTAGAAATCAATATAAGAAGATTGTTTATTATTCAAGTACTTCCGACGAGGATTTTGCGGTAGCCTGAGATTCCTCATAATATTATCAAGAGAAGTGAAGTCAAAAAAAATGAGTGAAATCAACCTGAAGTGGGTGTAGTAGTGTTGGCCATATGTTTTGGATAAGTGTGATCAATTAAGGAGAGGATTCGGTAGCTACTGGCAGCACTGCAGTACTAACTAATGGTAGTGATGGCGTTATGATGGAGTAGCTTTTGCAGTAGTTTAGTTGATCTGTGCCAGTGGTAACGGGGATATATTGTTGAATCGGAAAAATGTTGTAAAGGTACTCCTCCTCTAGCCACAAACCTGACTCTCTAAGGAGCTAGAGCTCAAGCTCCTGCCTCTTTATTAAATATTGCTAATGTTGCTGTTGCTCGATGAGATGGTGGCAAAATAAAGGTGAATCAGAGTGATAGATCCGTTCATCTTGCTATTTTTTTAAAAGAAGATAACGATGACAGACAGTCAGGTAAATTGCTGGTTGCTAATAATAGTACTTCACTTTTTCCAACTTTTTTTAACCAAATAATACACAAAAAAGGATTGCTTTCAAGTAATTCTGTCGTTTACCTGCAAATATAAATGAATTTCCACTTTTTATGATATAACAAATAGTTGTAATGTTGAAGATACGAATGAGTATTTTAAAAAAAAAAAAAAGCAATTCTGTGAAGTCAACAAATATTTCTTAGTCACCAAGTTGAAACTTCTTCAGAACTTTTTATTTGATAAAAAAAATCTTGGAGAAGAGAGAACAATAAATGATCACTGCTTTCAAGATAGGCCATTCTGTGTTAAATAATTTATCATTTGTTACTTGGCTCATCATTAGCTGGCAATTTTTGGATAGTTGCACAAAATATCACACAATTTAAAATTGTTATAAACATGAAAAGCATGTAATATATGCTATCAATCGAACGATAACAATTCTCAATTTATGATGAAAATTATAGTTGAATGTCAGCATTTCCCCTTTATAAAGCAAGAATTGTACGAAGAATAAAGCTCTATGAAGTTGAAAAGAGGAATGTGGAAAAAATATTCTCAACGCAATATGCGAAGCTTCTCTAATCTGCGACATATCAAGAGTTGTGTTATTTGTATAATACAATGTCAACTGAACTGAGTTCTTGCAAAATATCAAAGATAAAACCGCTTGTCAAAATTGCAAATATTCCGATGGAAATAAAATGGAATATTATATTTGACAGGCAAAATACTTTAAGTTTCATGGGATATTTTGATTAATGTATTTCTTGATAAAGATGATCAGTGTGCATAATAATTCATTCACTGATAAAATTCTTTACGCTTCAGTAAAATTATCCAACAAGTAAACTGTTGGGGAATTATGACAAAGCGATGGAGTAAAGGCTTGGTTAATTAATTTAACTAATTTGTCATATGTATGAGAGGGGCACAATGGGTCGTGGACAAGACAGACACAGGGAAGAAGATATTTCAGCAGTAATTAATGCTTCAGTTCAGGCATTACTTCAAATTTCAACTCCCTTACACAAGTCTACTTATATCTTCTTATTTGGATTTCTTAAGACAAAAGAAAGATAATGCATGGCCGCCTTCAAGCATGAATTTTAGTATATTCCGTTAGATTCTTGTCTTCAATTCCTGTTCTGGGCCATTGCAGTAGAAATTAATTTATGTAATACCTGAATTGTGTAATAGTGACCTGTTTTGGAAATTTAACTAATTTGTAAATCAAGATATTTGCTTTGTGTTTCTAGGCTTGTGACAAAAAAGATTGCTGTTCCATAATTAAGGAATAATTTGCTAATTTTTTAAAATGATATATCGAGTGGGATATGTACTAATA